AACTCTGATTCATTGGTTTAATTCTGAATGGCTTCAAAGATATACTAATAAATAAACGTAGTTTCAGACCACAGTTCAACATCAGCGGGCACAAATCAATAAATAGGGCAACAAAAATCAAATTAGAGTGTTACTGTTGTGGTTGCCGTTCACCCACGCATTCATGCGTGTCTCCGCCAAATCGGACGCGTGTTTCAATCCCGCTTGGGGCACGGATGGTTGCTCACACCCATCACTATGACCCCAAGACGTGCAAGAAACCAGTTCAGTCAAACGCAGTTCAGTCACGGCTCCCAAGACTGCAATGTAACGAGGTTCAATGTAACAAAACCATGGAGGAGTAGGAGTTTCTGGCCACAAGAGTAGGACCTACCGTGAGTGAGTGTACGCACTCTGCAGGGGATGATTCAACGGTTCGCACCCACATGCGAATATTACTGTAGCTTTAACGTCTGCATTGCTAAGTGACAGGTGATAAATTAAGCTAATTGCTTACGTAACGACAAAATACAAGAAATGTTCCATGTGTAACAAATGTTACAAAGACCACGTCTAGAAGTTATTCTTTCATGAAAATATCTTTATGAAAGAAAGTAGAGCCAATATAGCATTAAGTTCTGGTAACCAAATGAGTCTGATAACTGATTTGTTTGATAACACTTTTAAACTACATGGGGTATACTGTGAATAGAGACGGCCTTCATATATGAAAGTAGCTACGAATATGATTAATAAACAAACAACCACGGAAATCTGATAGAAAGATAGACCCTCCAGCTTGGGGTTTAGGTGCGGGGATAACCATCCCCCCACAGCTGATGAAGCCTAGTAATGACACGTCACAAATGGTCTTAGACTTGAAGACTCTTTGGCCGAAACAGTGTCCAATGGCGGGCTATTATGAAAAATATAATGAACCTTAAAAACTGTTAATTTCTTGGTCAGCTGAGGACAGGTAATTGACGTCGAATTCAGTTTTACGTTTAATTTTTAACTGTAAGCTTAACGACAGAAGGAATCGTCATTACTAGTACTTAACACATCAAGCAGTGTATATCTCTTCGTGCCATGAGCACGCATTCCATAGAAGCTGTGACAACGAGCGACAATATTTCTTCTGAGTCATATGCTGTGAAGAAGAATTCATGACGACATAACTAAGGATATTAAAGCAGAGTATAACAAAGGTGAGGCTTCATCTACGTAACGCAGGTGCTGACTATATTGACATTCTGGAATAACTGCACAGACGGCTGTAATAAAGGCAGCGGCCATAGATAATTCCGATACTAAGTACGTTAAATTTATTCTCAATTTCTGCAAGATAATGAATTATATACGTCGATAATTATATTCTGAAATGCAGCACAATACATTTACACGTAACAAACTTTGACTTGGTCACATACGAGATTTTCACGGCATTATAATATACAACACACGATATTTATTGTGCTAATACGATCGACAGTTTCAGAACAGTGTTTGCCTCAACATTCCACCTATCAAAGCACGTAACTTCGATGATCCTATTCTAGTCATAGTAATAATTGCATTATTAGTTCACAACTAACTATACTTATTTCGCTCACATTCAATTACTGGATGTTTCAAACAACAGACTCCCAAAGTCTGGCCCGCGAGCCACCAGTGGTCTGTGGAACAGGGAATATAAACAATTGTGAAACACATATATCTAAATACACAAACAAGCAATTGATACTTGAGGAATACATTTAGAACTTTACCAAATACGTCGTCATAATTAGAATCTACTATAGCCGAGAGCTTCGCAGTTTTTAAACAGACAGGAATATCGAAGTGGCCCAGCAGGACCCTCGGAAATTTTAAAGTGTTTCGGGTAAAGAAAGTCTGGGAGCCACTGATTTAAACTAAACGGAGACGAGAACAAATTTTACAGTCATCCTATTACGTTCAACAACCTACAATAGTCTACCGAACACTCACTCTCCTCGACTTTCCGCTTACCTTCGATAGGAACTGCATGACTTCCTCTTCTGAAGCGATAATACGTACTATCAGCTAGTCGAGTAATTCCTTGACCTTCATGACACCAGAAAGTTCATTATCCTGTTCACAAGGACCCACCAAGCGTCCCCTTCCCCAGACAAATAAATCCAGTCCACAACCTTCCACCATGTTTTTTTATGATCCATTATCCTATCATACACCCAGGCCTACCGAGTGGTCACTCTTCTTCAGACCACGTACCCAAAATTTTGTATGCATTTCTGATCTCTAACTACGTACGCCTGTCTGATCTTCCTTGATTTAATAACTAATGATATCTGCGAAAAGAATAAATTATGGAGTCCTGGTTATGCAATTTTCTCCACACTTGTCACTGCATCGCTCTTAGGGTCAGACATTCTCCTAAACACTCTGTTCTCACATATCCTCAATTTTCGTTCTTTCCTCAACGTGAAAAACCGGGTTTCATGCTCATACAAACTAACAGGTAAAATTATAGTTCCGTACATTTTAACATTCACGTTTTTACACGGCAAACGTTCCTTTAATTCAGACCGACCTTATTACATTCATCGTGAATGAAATTACGATTTGTTAAAATCGTTCCTTTACTTCCATATTCCAAATAATTCGGTATAGCGATATGCCCCCTAGAAATAACTGCACATGACCTAAAGTTTACATAAACTATGTATAACTCAAGATTTTCGACGAATGTACGAACGTAGAGATGTGTGTATTGAAAATGCCGTACGGCCCAGGAAATAACCACGTTACACAACACGCAGAAAAGTGAAGTCTAGTTTATACGTTGCACTCTGCTAGTCGCTGTTGAATGTTTCGTCATTTGCGAGACAGTGAGCCTGTGTCTGCAGTGTGACGATATAAATAAGATTCCATACTTAGAAACTGACACGTACACTAAAATTAACACAAACTGCGAAACGGATACATTGAAACAACGATTAACAGATCAGAAATATACATAAAGTTATGCAACGGTAATTAACGTTTTATGGTAACTTGCGTGCATAAGAAATAAGAATGTTTTATCTTAGGTGCACACTGGAAAACAAATCCAGAAAACTGAGAAGCCTTGTCGTTTCCATCCACAAGTCTGCTTAGACACATGCACTTTGGTCAGGAAATAGCAGTTTTCTTGAATGCTGCATCATGTAGTTTGGTAAATACTGACCGACTATTCTGAGGAACTTACTGCCTCCTTCATCAAAATGGTAAAATATCCAATTTTAGGAAACGTTTCTTATTACCGTGGTATACCACGCGTGACAAAGCCTTGTGTGTGTACCGTACCTGACCCACTGGAAACACGGAATGAAAAACAAACACGGGGGTCCGCAGGCAGTGGATATTTTTGGAACAGAGATAACATACACCTCGCACCTCTCCCCCGCCTTTCAAGCAATCCAAAACAAGTTTTGGCCGAGCGAGGTGCAAAAGGCCATGCCCACAGTTACTCAGGAGAAATGTTATACCATGAAACCTGTGTGTTCCTCACCATGATCAAAAAAGCACGCGCTAGGCCAGTTTAATCCAATAAGCACCTATTCACCCCATTTGTCAGAAATCCATTCTAATATGTCTGTTGTCCTTCCCCTCCTTTCTACGATGATAACGACTCGTAACCGGTAAATTATTTGGGTTAAATTTTCCACACATTAATTCGTTTCATGCACTTTCTCCGCGTAATTCTACGTTGCCCTTCTCACGCAGAAAAGACTTGCAACTGACTGATCCCCCATGTAGGGAGTTCTACCATCTAAGTAAGATACAGACAACACTAATCATCAAAGATGGCGACGCAATTGATGACTTTGAGATCTTTTAATCGGTGCATTTTCATGTTTTTAAGTCCAATGACAGGAACATGAACGATAAGATATAAAAGTGGGAGGAAGTGTTCGCGGCTTATTTGAAGGTATAATTCTGGGTTTTGTCTGGAGAAAGAAGAAAATCACGAACATCCTCACTCGGGTAACCCGGCAGACATTCGTACCGAGTACACCGACGCCCCGAAGAAAAGTAAGGAGCGCAGCATCATTACACAGCATGCCAGTTAGGGCATGAATGCAGAAGTAGACACGATTAGAAACGTAGAAGTTCTGAGAAACTTGCAAACGCTTCGGGACAGAAAATACTGTTTTCATCGCAATTTTCATACGATTTTCAGAAACAATGTATAAGCAGAACATAAGCACAAATGAAATCAACTGTATATTTATCAAAATTTAGAATTGTTTATAATCTGAACAACAACAATACCCTGGAAGTGGTGATAATTAGTATCTTCATTCGCCCTCTTGTTCATATTTAGAGGTAGACGTATCCTAAAATGCACGCTGGTCTTCAGGTCAAAAAGTGAACTGTACCACTGCATCACAAATGAACAGTCTGGAGTGCAGACAGGGAGACATATGACAGACAACCGAGGCGAAGGCCAAGTCCGTTTGCTAAATATGAACCCTGGCTAGCGAGCTAAACCTGTATATCAAAGGGCATTTGAAACGGAACACTGATCTATAGACCTACGCCATATTAAAAGTACCAAGGGTCTGCCAGTTTGTACAGAACTATATAGGCCTAACCCAATTACGTCACAGTGCCATTTCAAACACTCAGCAGGGCAAGGGATATTTCAATATTCATAAACAAAATACGTTTCATTTACTACAGTAATAACTTAGTGGCGAATTGATCATGCTCTGAAGTAATACTCTTATGTTCAACGTGAAGAAACAAAGGGACAACGATGGCGGTTGTTATGTTACCACTCGGAAGGTCCGAGATTTGAATCTCGACCATCAACATTAATCATAGCTGTGAATATGAAATTCAAAATTAATGTGTGTATACACACACCACATATTTCTATATAATATAAAAATAAAGGACCTGGAATCTGCAGAGAATTATTTTATAACAAACGCAGGGTTTTGCCTATTATGAAATGTGCAGAGCGGCTAAGGAACAATGAAATGGCCCAGACCTGAGGTCACACTCATCCTTTATTATAAACTCGAGGGCCATAAGGTTATACAGAAGGACAACTACTTGAAACGGTTTGCTTAAATTCTATGTAATCAAGCGTAATATTTGCAAACAGAGATCCATGCCCTGCTCAACAATCTTTTTTAACAGTATCCGTCATTTGTGTGACATTTTACACCACTAATGACTAAATAATATTTAAATATCAGGTGTAATTTCTCTTGCTGCAATTCGAATGCATCCCTTTAAGTGTTCGTCAGTGTGTTGTAGTGCTTGATTTGAAGTTCTTCATTAAGTTGGACAGTTCCTCACAGAGACACGTACTGCCAAACATCGACGACATTAAAATATTTTCAAATGTCTGGTAATCATTCTCATTGCATACGTTAAAAGAAGCTGCAGGCAAGAAACACAAGACAGACTGGCTGATACAGATTTAGAACACCAGGAATACACCATGTTTATGTTTATGTTTATGTTTAACTTGTCATTTGTGTTACGGCTAAAGTGAGTACCCTTTTAATTACGTCAAAAGTGGTTAAATTTGTAAAGTAATCTTAACAGCTTACGGACAGTAATGTCAAGTAATTCTATCTGCTTGTGACGTCTTCAAAGCCACATTTGTAAATATTTATCACACCTGCATATTTCTAAACTATTCATAATTTCTAGTTTCTAGGAAAAACGCAATAGACAGACAAGGACGGGCTCAAAGGTGTTTTCGCTCACGACAGAGCGTGAAGAACGCTCAACTGGAAAAAATATCTCGGTTCTTAGTACTCTGGAAGGTAAACGACAGTTTGACAAACACATTTATAAAAGTTCTACAAATAATGGTACCCACTTAGCTCTCTTGATGTCAGTGATTTATGTGGGATCTTTGCAGAATGTGTTGACCTTGCAGATACTGTAACAGGTCTATTTGCATTTGGATGCACTGCAGTTAAAAACATTTCACCCGCCACTTTATAAATTTTCACGTTTTACATATATCCTGAAATTTTATAAAACACAACTGGGTATATTGCCCTTGCTTCTCTGTTTCCTTACATGGCAAGATATGTTAACGTCGCTTCTTTTATGTTGGGCACATTCATAAGTTAACCCAACGTCTCGTTAACGTCTTCTTCAATATAGAAGTCCTCATTAAACCCTGCAGCTGTAAAAGGAATTTCGATTTGATAATCAACTAGGCAAGAAAGACTAAAATTCACAAGTCATTTCATTTTATGTAACAATAACGCAATAACGATCTTACTAAAATTGATAGGCAAATACATTTTAGGAGAATTTTGCAATTACTGAAGGCAAAGCAATTCTTTTGTTTTGTTGTGATAGGTGGCATGACAAGCGAACGACTCATGGTGTAAAAATATAAACTAGCTGTATTCGGTGACCTTAATATGAACGCCTTTCGGAGTGAATTTAACAAGATGATCACAAAATATGATAATCACCATTAGCTTTTGAGACCGACAGGGTTCTGCAACTACAAAGTATGAAGACCACTGTCGTGAATGAATACATCAGTTCCATCAATTTATTATCCAAGCAAAGAAAAAAAGTATTAACACTGGCATGCACAAGGCATGGTTCCGTTTTAACAGTGCTAATGCACGGCGCTACAACCCAGAAGACAGCCATCTAAGTATCTTAACTATTGGTTGGGGAAACTATGGAGAAATATAAGCATTAGTCAGGCAAATATACGGATATATATCATGTTCGTGAGAAAACGACTTTAATTTTTCTTACAACCTTTAATAATAAATTCTAATTTGGAAAGACACAGCGAAGTTCAACGACTGAGATACCTTTTCGGCGAACAACTACGCGAATTGGCGAGAGACTCCAGCACAAAATCTTGAAGGTTATCGCCTGATAACAGCAAAAGTATTTCATTCAAACAATATCAGTACCAGGTCACTATAGCTGTAGTTGCAACAGAGCGAGGATTTGTAAATAGATCACATAGTTTTGGACGAATAAATTGCCTCCATCTTCAGAACTTCAGCCTCAGAGAGGTAGACAGTATATCCTTCCTAAACGCTGTAAGTCTCCCACTGCGTTACAACCCAGGAACCGAGAAGACCCACATCAGATTATCTTCAACGCCGAGAAGTACCTCAAATATCACTACTTATGCAGACCTGTACCAACTGAATGCATTGGGAAGTTGATGCAGACAGAGTGAAAGCGCGTGCGTGTATCCACAGGCATGCAATGCATCACACCCGTCCCAACCCAACAGCCTTGAGACTGTATTACACCACACAGCCTCCACTTGTAACAAACGAAACTTCAGATTCAATATGCAAAAGGTGGGTTTTGTGAAAAACTAACTGAACAGCAAAAAAACACAGTTCGCTCGGCTATTCAATAGATGTCCCAGTTTTTATGGAACCAGAAGATTCACTAACGTATTCGCAAGAGATCACTAGTCCGGACGAATCCAGTCCACACCCTCCCACCCCTTTTATAAATGTTAATATTATCGTTCTATCCACGCCTACGTATTTTGAGAGGTCTCTTCCCTTCAGGCTTCCCAGCAAAAATTTTGTATGCATTTCTCATAAATACAGATTGAGGGTTAATATTAAAGTCCAATATCAAATTCCACAGAAATTTATAGAGAGCGGATGGTCTGACTCCATTGATATGAACGTGAATAACAGAAACAAATTAAGATTCATTAAGTTTTGTGAAATGATGGAGGATTTCAAACTGAATGCCAATGATAAGTGTCATAATTTTTTAAAACAATTACTATTCTGGACGTTGCCCACTGCCTTAGGTTTTTCTTAAACATGGCGTTTCAACTATCAGGTGGTTCAGGAACAGAAAATTTCAGTTTCTGAAATGTAACATTCAAAGAAACTAATATTGTAATAATAATAACAACATCGTCTGTGGTATTCAGATTCAACTTTAATAAAGAAGGTTCTTAGAAGGCCAAGGTTTCAATAATAAGAAAACAGAAAATTACAGCTGGCACTGTGCTTGAGCAACATACCTCGAGGACACATTAAGAAGTGGCAGCAAAGCCACACACATTAACCTTAACACCAGATGGAGCTGAATGGACAACTCCATTATCCAGATGCTTTCGCCTTGAGGAGAGGGAGACGCCAATCTCAATGTAATGGTAAAAAGAAAATCCCTTCCACTGCTAAGAATCAAACTGTCAAGTCCATAGACAATCATGTTACTGCACTATCCTGGCTCATTCCAAATATAATCCAAGACAAACTGTACTAATCAACTACGTATTTGAAACATTCTTCTTCACAGTTGCCATTAACCTGAATGTACATTAATAACTCAGTTGACTAAAATATATAATTTCATAAAATCATCAAGTGGATGCACACAACAGTCAAACTGGCAACACTGTACTGTGGCAAAGGAGGGCAGAGTCATGCCTGCGCCCCAACAGTCTGAGGGTAAACCCATTCTATCTGCAGAAAAGCCAAATTTAACTGTAAATATTATTAATTTTGTCATCATGTCATCTACATCTCAATCATGAAGATAAAATCTACAAATAAAAAATAATAATTTCATGGTCATCAACGAGATTTTTTAAATTCAAATTCTTGAAAACACACAAGTCAGCATTTCTTGTGTATTTAGGGTTGGCACTGGGGTGGATGAGGGGGTGTGAGGTCATAACACAAAACTGTATAAAAGAGCCAAACTCTTAAGATCTGTCCAAACACCTGGTGATCCAGATTAAACAGGTTCATTACAATTCATCCTGTACAATGATGGGAAATATGTACATTAATGTTAATAACGTTTTGACATTTGATATTACACCTGTCTCATTATGTCAGATTTGTCCACTGTCTGAGGTATATTTAACAACCATGAATTGGGAAAGGAGTGGAGAGAAGCAGTCATGACCTGTTTTAAGGTGCTAATGCTCTGATTCTAAAATCCTGACAGTCCTTCTGTCACCTCTGCTGCTGTTATATATCTTATCTTATCTATCAAAGTCAGCTACATTTACAGTTTAACTGTTTCCTGCAGTTATCACACATTTAATTCTGTTCAAATTTAGACTGGCATCATTTTAATCCAAACTGAATTTCCCTAAACAGCATTAACCAGTTGATCTGAGTAATAGTGAAGTGTTGTGTTTTCTTTACAGTACGCGGTGAATTCTTATATATTATTTAGACGAGCTTCAGAGAATTAACTTGTCACACATACAGTATTGTGTTTCCACTAGAAAATATGTATCAATAGTGAAAAACATAGTCATGTGACCTCCGCAATGACAACTCGAAACTACAGTTGATACATGAAAGTCCCAAACAACAATATGCAGACTCAGCGGAGAAATCAACCTGTGCCTGTAAACTGCTACTATTAAATCAAGTACAAAACTGAGTTTATTCCGTCTTCCCATCTGATTTCTAAGAACCTGAAGATAAAACATAGGAAACAATAATTCTGCCTGTTGTTTTGTATGGGTGTAAAACATGGTCTCTCACTCTGAGCGAGGAATATAGATCGCAGGTGTTTGAGAACAGGGTGTTGAGGAGGATATTTGGGCCTAGGACAGAAGACATTAGGGTATGAAGAACAATAAAAAATAATAATTTCATGGTCATCAACGAGATTTTTTAAATTCAAATTCTTGAAAACACACAAGTCAGCATTTCTTGTGTATTTAGGGTTGGCACTGGGGTGGATGAGGGGGTGTGAGGTCATAACACAAAACTGTATAAAAGAGCCAAACTCTTAAGATCTGTCCAAACACCTGGTGATCCAGATTAAACAGGTTCATTACAATTCATCCTGTACAATGATGGGAAATATGTACATTAATGTTAATAACGTTTTGACATTTGATATTACACCTGTCTCATTATGTCAGATTTGTCCACTGTCTGAGGTATATTTAACAACCATGAATTGGGAAAGGAGTGGAGAGAAGCAGTCATGACCTGTTTTAAGGTGCTAATGCTCTGATTCTAAAATCCTGACAGTCCTTCTGTCACCTCTGCTGCTGTTATATATCTTATCTTATCTATCAAAGTCAGCTACATTTACAGTTTAACTGTTTCCTGCAGTTATCACACATTTAATTCTGTTCAAATTTAGACTGGCATCATTTTAATCCAAACTGAATTTCCCTAAACAGCATTAACCAGTTGATCTGAGTAATAGTGAAGTGTTGTGTTTTCTTTACAGTACGCGGTGAATTCTTATATATTATTTAGACGAGCTTCAGAGAATTAACTTGTCACACATACAGTATTGTGTTTCCACTAGAAAATATGTATCAATAGTGAAAAACATAGTCATGTGACCTCCGCAATGACAACTCGAAACTACAGTTGATACATGAAAGTCCCAAACAACAATATGCAGACTCAGCGGAGAAATCAACCTGTGCCTGTAAACTGCTACTATTAAATCAAGTACAAAACTGAGTTTATTCCGTCTTCCCATCTGATTTCTAAGAACCTGAAGATAAAACATAGGAAACAATAATTCTGCCTGTTGTTTTGTATGGGTGTAAAACATGGTCTCTCACTCTGAGCGAGGAATATAGATCGCAGGTGTTTGAGAACAGGGTGTTGAGGAGGATATTTGGGCCTAGGACAGAAGACATTAGGGTATGAAGAACACTGCATAATGATGAACTTAAAAATTTGTATTCCTCCCCCAATATTGTCAGGGTGATTAAGTCGAGAAGGATTAGATGGGCGGGGCATGTAGCGTGCATGTATGGGACAAGAGGTGTGCACCGGGTATTGGTTGGGAAGCCTGAGGGGAAGAGACCACTGGGGAGACCTAGATGTAGATGGGAGGATAATGTCAGGCGGGATCTATGGGAGATAGGAGTTGAAGGCGACTGGATTTTGTTTGCCCAGGACAGGGTCCTGTGGAGGGCTTTGGTGAGCTTGGTGATGAACCTCCGGGTTCGGTAAGCCATCTAGATAGATAGTTATAAATCTGAGTTACAATATTTAACCTACATACACTACACCCATATTCATACAAGCATAAAAAACAAGAGTAACCTAAAGTCTTGAATCTTCAGTGTATTTTGTATGGTGAAATATAAATTGCTATTCGTTTTTATATTAACATTTTTTTCTTACAGTTAAATCTACAATAATTCATTATTTAATCAATTACACTTATAGTTTCATGTGCACACACTTACTGCAAAAGACAAAATTATGAAATGGCAAAAATTTAAGAGACTGTTATGGTCAATTAAGTACCTGCTTTATGAGAATATACCAACAGCTGACATTTAAGAGTTTCAGATAAGATATGGCAGGCAATGGCAGACTATGATGGGTAGGAAGGGAAGCTGCTGTGGCCTATTATATAGTACTATCACAGCATTTGCCTGAAAGAAACAAGGAAAACCAGAAAAGGAAAAGGTTGCCCCTGGTCATGATTCAAAGTGGGAAACTCCAAAACTGTGAGTCAGGTGTTTTATATCCTGCTTAATACAGAATGGGGAAAGTGTTGTCTGCAAATTTCTTACAGCATTATACCAACATTTTAATGGAGACTGAAAACCCTTCTAATATTTAGTAAGATCTCAGGTTCTCATGACAAGTATAAAGATGACTGTATTGTGCGATATTGCAACGTGCAGTCTGGTACAAACTGACCAACAATGTAGAGGCACAAGACCCTGATGATGGGAGGCAATTTCTAACACATCCCATCTCATCTTCAATTCTAACAGTTTCCCTCCACACTTTCACGAAACATTTTCAAACATTCATGACCAATTTGGTTATGAGTTCTTAGAAAAATAATGGTAGATGTGTAAAGAAGTATTTGGCATGAACCTGTGAAAAGTTTGCAGAAATGGCCATGTTTGCTTTACAGAAAATTGTAAGCAGTAACTCAAAAAACAAGAACCACCACTGACAAGAGTAACTGTTATTGAATACCCAATGTGACATTTTACCTGCTTCAAACGGTTTTAAAGATTATATTTGTGAATCAGTTTATCTTTGTTTTGTGAATGGCATAAGGTATTTGTGGAACTTGTCAGTTATATTATACACGAAGACCTTGTACGAGAAAATCAGAATGCATTCTGTATATCTCAATCAAATTACCAGCAGGCAACACAATGCATGCAACTGTAAAGCTCCCTGTACTTCTGTCATAAATTCCCTTCTTCCCACACATTAATCTCTTTTCTAACAATGTACAAATAATTTTGTTAATTTCAAAGAATTACAGAAAAAATATAACATAATTCATTCGGAAATACGTATGGGTAATTAAACCATAGAATACACCACAAAGAAGTTGCTAGGATATTCAATTAATGGCTTAATTACAGTTGGGTAGTTCTACTAAATGTCACAGAATCTGCTGCCCAGTAAACTCTTGAACGATTGATTCCAACTGCACATTTTCAATAGTCCCTTTTATATTTTTAAGTTTTTAAACTACACACAAGGGTTACACCCACTTTCAACTCGTTCAAATCTCTCCAAAGTCCAGTAATGTGAACATAACCTTAAAATAAATCACACCCACTGGTGCCTGAAAAAAAATGCTGCCTTATTGTAGTGTAATTTCTATTTATGCCAGCTTGAGATTGGGCAATGTTACAGGAAGAAGTAACGCGAAAAAGCGGGTCACAAGTATAACTCAAACCGATATCTAAAGAACTCTCCAGCTACCAACGCACAGCTTATGACACTGGGGCAGTAACATGCCAGAAGTAAGGTTAACAGTGGTATGCAACTCCAAACTATGTAACTGTAAGACATACTAAGAGTAAACCGGAATTAAATTACCTTTTTCAAACAAAATTAAAACGGTTCATTCAGTGCTATACGCAAATCCTAAATTAGTTTGAACACAAACTACCATTCGACGCTTAACTTCACACGCAAGCTCTTAAATACATGAGTACTTTTCCAGGCTCCAGCCAGTTTCCTTGAATATTTAACTAACCTGTATTTAATAACCTACAATGCAGATAATAAGATCACAATGTAATATAGTGAAGGTGAATTCTTATACGGCGTGAGTAGACACATCCCGGGAAACACGATTAATGTTTCTGGTTTACATGCAGCAAACGAATAAGACATGCATTGCAAAAACATGAAGCTATCTGCACAACGACACATCATTTACCCCAAGCTTCAACTTCGGTTACAACGATCACATGCTCTACGGTCATAAAGCCACGCCCTCAAGTATTTACTTGTACTGTCACAAGCCAGTGGCAAAAATTTTAAAAAAAAATCAGAAGTGGGATATCGATTATTTTACTTCATGAGCCCATTAAGAGTGTCAGTACAAATTACAAAATATGCTAAGCAGTTGGACACAACCTAAGATTCGAACCAATGACCTGCCAAAATGGGGCACTTACCCTAACCGTAAGAACTTACAGCTTAGTCACGACTAGCCTCCTGCCAGAACAATGGCAGGATACCAAAAACATTACAAAAATAGGCGCCACTTCTACAGTATTTGGTACTTTGCCGACCCCACCTTTCTGACCACGTGGCTTGCAAACCGCGGCATCGGAACCTACTTGGCGCTGCATGAAATGTCAAGATCAATATCATGTGTACTCACCGATATTCACGATTCGTATAGACTCATCATCCTCCAGGAACTTTAGTGCTACGGAGACATTCTCGAGTTTTTGTGACCGGAAAGTTGGCCTTTTATTATGTTTTGGTAGCCTTTTGCCTGATAACACTTCAATGAGGGTTATAAGTCGTAAGCCGTCACATAGATCCGTTTCCAAATTGCCGATGTGCTTGTTGACCGTTTTTAAATGCTCGTTTGCCCACCGAGTAAAGGTATTTTGTTGAATACGTTTCCATTGCGCGTCTTCTGCTAGTTCACGCTCCGTAGCAACCATCTCGTCTTGATCATCTGTACTGCAACTTTCTGTTCCTGCTTCATTATTATTATTCATTATGTACGTGTGATAAAAACTCCACCTGGTGAGGAAATCCAAGAACCACACTGCGCTGCGCCTGTAGAATATGCAACAAGCACGAAATTTAACCACCTTCATAGCATTGCTGTTACTACTACTTGGCGTATTACTAGACTGGAAAGAACATGATGAAAAAGAACAGAAAGGAATTCAAACCCTGAACTTAAACTGACAATGATAAATGTGTAATTCGGATACTACTCCGCAATTAAATCCTTCTTCCAAGATACAGTGCCTATACTAAAATCTGAATCATTCACTCGAACAGGAGCTCGTTTTCTAAAAATATTTCACTTATAGAATTTCAGATATCTACAAAATAAATAATTTTCTAAAAAATGCATTAAAACCCATAAGGTATTTATTGTTCTCAGATTGCAGCATTGTATTCCATGTAAGAAGCCATGTCTCGCGTTTCTTTTAAGCGGACCTACGTAATTATGACCTAGTGAAACGACATTCATGCGCAACATCTCCGGCAGTGATAAAAACGCAACCTGGTGAGGATATCCAACAATTACTGTCTGCTGCGCCCGAAGAGTATACAACCAGCAAATCAAGCACAAATTCAAACACTTTAATATTGCGCCTTAGATATGAAACTTGAGTATATTTATTTTTTCACAACAATACTTATTGAACTTGCTCCCTCACCGTCTTGCTTTCGACTGAGCTACACCGATCAGTCTGTGCTAAGAATAGCTAGAATGTTTTCCCCCCTTCAAGAGAGTACAGAAGTGGAGGGGGTGTTTTGCTTCTTTAAGGTCGGTTCACAACTTTCGTAGTAAAGGGAATGTTACCTTCCGAGAACTTTTCATGTTCTAAAAACTCCATTGCATTAAGAAAATTACAACTTTAAGCGAGACAATATTTCTTTGCGATCTCATTTAAAGAGATTTTCAGTTACTGCTTTTTGATAATTTTAATTCAGAAATAAACTTCATAACACTGAAATTACAGTACCACTACTTTTGAGATGATTATTAAATATGTTTCAGCTAATTCGATATCATAAAAATAATTAATCTTTTATTTATGGTACCAGAAACAATAATTTTTATAACAGATGTTATCAAAGAGCATTTTATTTTTATGAAGTACACAGAGTGTTGTGAATGTTCTTTAATGTCACGATACGAACTGTTCTGAAATATTTAATTTACGTATGCTTTGTGCTGTGAATCGGCCTTTGATCGCTGAGTACATATGTCCTAATTCTATATACCCCCTCTTCGAGTAATACGTCCCAATAAGGAATTGAAGCTCGTATCTGAAAAACTGACAGTCTGCTCCCATGTGAGTAATGCCAGCTTTCACTTGCGGCTGGTTCTTATTCCATGTATGGTAAGCACTTCGGTGTAGGAATTATTCATTGACAAAGTTTCAGATAAAGACATTACTTCAGCTGCATAGCCATCGTTTGTGTTACGAACTTGACATCATGTGCATATGTGTGTTCAATAAAGGTGAGATGAGTAAAATTATTCTGAAACATCCACCTGGTCCAGGAAACAACAATGGTAAAGAAATAAATATGACCATCGGAATGGAATAATAGGTCTCTGTAGGTAACTGTCACCGTTGGCAAAAACTCCTAGGAAACAATATTATGTCAATACATATTGATCAATTTATCGTTCAATACAAATTAAACACAATACTGTAAATATTTTACATACGTAGAGAACAGACGACTGACAAATCAAAGTAATAATATGACATGATAGTGATACGTATTCTGTTTATCGAAACACTTAAAAAGCTGTGAAGCTTGTAAACCTCTCTCTGGTAACGGAACGATGAGCCATAATAAGGGAACGTGTTTGGCCCATTTGACATTCCTAGGCCCTAAGAGGTGGAGTGGAAGACACTAAAAATGAAAGTGGCCAATCAAGCTCTAGTGGAATTAGTGCGGACTTGCTGAATATAAATCGAATGCTTAGACTAGTGCGGCACAGCGTAATAGGGCTATAAGATTTTGTTTGATGCATTAGACTAAATAACCCAGGTTCATGCCTGTACATGAAGAGTAATCAATTAAGTTATGTTTCATAAATTTTCACATTTCTAAACATGTGCTATAAATTTGTCTCTTGTAACATAATATTTACCATTGATGTGAATTGAGGTACGCAAGAAATAAGAAGAAACCTTTATGAGATTTATTATGTTTTAGGAGTAACCTTTAGGTCCAGTTATGCAGGTTCTCAGTAATTCATAGGCATCATTAACAAGAATATAAGCGAATAATGTAAAAGAAATGTGGCATCTACAAGCTCATTTCGTGCGAAATAAGCCTAGGATATGTACGTTTGTGCACGAACTTCATGGCCAATAACTGTCCCAATTAGGGGCTCATACAATTGGGTGGCAGTTAATAATTTTGTTTAATGAATTCTGTAGGGTGGTTTCCAGAGCAGAGACCAACCGAGGCATCAGAGAAAATAAATGTGTGTAAGTAAATAGCTCTCTACTACGAAAATAGTATGATTACTGGCTACTCCATGGGGACTTAAAACTATAGATCGAAAGTTTATAAATTAACTGAGAAATTCCTACATCTATCCACAAACTTTCTGTTAAAATGCCTACTGAGTGCATTTACGTATGGAGTATGCTACGCTACTGTGTAAATAAATATTCAAAATGTAATGATGTTTTACTTTAAATTTTGAGAGGTCAAACAAACACTGGTCTTCGAAGTCATCTCACATCTGTGACTGCAGGCATCAAGAGCCCCGTTTTCTATTTAATAACGAGTAAACGTTTCATTATTATAGGCTCGACTAATACGTAAATGGCAATGTGTGAGGAACTAAATCCCTATAAAGATCCTGAACATTGTCCGCTTTCTCATCACTTATGGTGCTATATGTCGTCATTTATTTTTTGCGGAAGAACCAGATTACTCAGACAAGGTGTAAAATAAATATGGCTGCGAATTTATCAGTGAAGCGTGGATATTAAAGAAGATGAAACTGTTTTTCGTACAAATTCGTTAGTGTATGCAATCAAAGTCGCGAAGCCTAGAGAAAATCGAGTACTGTGACCACAAAACTTCCTGTCACTGTGATGAAATAAGATTTATTCTCACAACTTCGAAACCAGAATGTCGGAAGCACACACAGAAGTATTCTGACGAAGTGAGGTCCAGACCCACGCGACACTAAATTGAAACATGAAATTAAGTGGGTTTACTGTGCCGTATCAGATCAGATAGCCATGTGATAGGAAGACAACAATCAATATGTTTGACTAGGAGTGAAATTACTATCGTATATGGAAATCGTAAATGCAAAATTTGTTGTTTGTGAAATGAAATATTTACTTATCAACTAACACGTTTTGTACATTAATTATGTTCATAAAGACTAATGGAGACGCTGAACACCAAATTCTTGCTCTCAGCAGTTACAGGCAGAATACAGCGGTTCTCCTTGTTGTTCGGCAACTTCTTCTACTAAGATGTACTGAGAGCAGTAGCATCTTCTTTAAAGACGCAATGTAGGCTGCGATTACAATTTCTATCAACACACACACACACACACACACACACACACACACACATATATATATATATATATATATATACTTATCACTAATGAGCAGCCTCTGTAAGAAAGAATTAAAACTTATTTACTTTATGCACTAATTATTTGCCCTTCATTTACTTATTACATTATGAGCTTATTCCACTGTAGCCTGTAATTCTTGCTTTTCCTTTCCACTAGTGAAGAGACGAACAAGAAAAACCAAGAATTAACATAACACACCTGGATGATACACTACGGATTTGAAAATGTAGCCTATAATATTATCTTTGAAAACATTTTAAACACTACCAAGAATCGTAAAAGAAAATCATGCGTGAACGAGGTTTGGAGCAAATTATCACCTGCAAACTTCGCCCACTACGTCTCAACAGGACTGGAAATGTAACACAGTTACATAAATTACGTACCGGCTATGCCACAGAATCAGAGTGTTGCTGATGTAATCCAAATAAAATTAAACGAGATTTGAAGTTTGTCGATGTTGATCTTCTGACGCCATAGGTTGATCCAACGTTTCGGAAGAACTGCTTACAACTTCGGGGTTTGTTTCTGTCTACCTACAAGTCCAAGCGGTATTACAATCTAGAATACCAACATCGATAAAACAAAATTATCTACCTGAAGGACCTTGCACCTATTGAATAAGTCTCATACGTTACTGCTACAGGAATCTGCTCAACATATCAGTTGCGGTGTAAATCATGTCTGAAAAGCAGAGACCGTGTGCAAAACCCCAAAGGCATTTGTTTTAAACAACAGGGTCAAACAGAACAAAATATGAGATCCTGCCTCGGGTAAACTTCCAACATCACAGATACCTATAAATAAGCTTGAACTGCACCAAACGGATCATATAGCACACTTTTGCCAAAATGGTCTAAAAGTCAAATGCTTTGTTGAGCGATAAGCCAGAATGCTGTAAGGTTACCTGTGACTGGAAGACCATATCATTCAAGCAGGTCTATAGCCTAAATCGTAGACAACATACCTACTTTTGCAGCTGGCAATATGCTGTCATCAGTTTGGCTACTGGCAATATCGGCAGTTCAAGGTCCAAATGATTTGAAGATTGCCAATTTTCTTTTCCTTGGCTGTTGTGTAAGTTTTTTTATACCCCTTTTCAACGAATTCTAATAACCTGGTCATATGACAAGGATGAGTTAATAATTTGTATTGTTTGCAATTTAAAATTATTAATTTAACTGTGGCAATGTCAAACGTGGGAGGACTCATAAGACCTACATGTTAGTCTTTTGCAATGAAATATTCAAGAAAATTATGCAAGAATGTCGTGTTAACTTCATTTGGTTTTTCGGTAGGTGTTTAAAAAGTTTGTTTCGATGCGAGAGATCTGCAAAATACATTTTCCGATCTCTTAAGTGGGCCGCATATTTGACAAGGCAGAATTGTTATACGTAAGAATTCTAATTCGCATGTGAACGCTTTGACTGTCAGATCTTGATTCACTGTACTCACAACTGACAGGAACTTTGGCTTGCAGATTGCGAACCGCAACTTCCTTTCGTGGTTTGACGCTTATCCAAGTGCACCGGGACACTTTTTTGACAAATAAATCCTGGGCTAAAAGTAGTTGTATGCTGGAATAATTCCATTCGCTATGGTTGGTTTGTCATTCGGTTATACGACTCCGTATCAACTACTATGATTATGTAGTGTTATGGTTGCATTACAGATGATGAATAGCAAATCACGTACATCTTACAGCATACCATTTAAGGGGGATGCCCAGTATATAATGTAATTAGTAACTGTCTTCGTCATGCTGTCAAAAACATTGGTCTTCTGATTGTGTAAGACCACTGTACTCTCTCCTGTCCCAACCTTCCTTTTCATGCTACAAGAATGGATATTTCCCTAATAGCCCCTTCCATGGCAATGACTAGTCAATCCTACATCTACCCATCCATCAAATCCATCTTCCGTAACACACATTTCCACATTGCTCATAGCCTGCTACATTTCAATGTTTGAAATCAGCATCTCAGGAACACCTTCTTCACAGGCCTTAAGATATGAACAATCAGACTCTCCAGCTGTTACAGTGCCTTCCAATGCAGTCAGTGAACTGGTGCTGGGTACATAACAGCATGCGTTGTCTTGAAGAACTATGACTTTGTGCTAAAGTGCTAACAAATTTATGGAAATGGATCATAATACAAGCAAAATGTATATCAAGGTCATGTCTACTAAAACTTGATTGACGATAGTCATCTTTGCACAATTTTCCAATCAACACTTCTAGAAAACTTCAAAAATATTCCTGAATGAATCAGGTCCATTAACTTTCCCAAATGACATTCTTAATTTCTGGATACAGAATAAGAGTACCATAATTTATATTTTATAAATGAATGGGATCCTTGTTTAGTGAGCACTTCATAAATATTTTTACAAGGTTCTTATGGTAGTGGATATGTCCATGGTGGTCTTTATGTTGTATGACACATGAACTTGTACAAATGAGATGCCATGAAAAAACAGGCAGAATGTTCCTCCAAAATGTTGGCACTGACTTAGAAGTCCGTAACATCACAACCTAGATGACCACCAAGGCCAAAAGATAATTTACATTACACAACACTATTTCTACTGAGGAAGATCTCTAAATGCATGTCAAAAAATAGTTAAACAGCAAAGGATATTATTTTACTTTGGGACATTTATCAAGCAAAAGGCTCAATGAACACGGTAACAAAGCATCGGGATACATAAAACGTGGAGAATTTTGTAATTAGTAGAACAAGTAGCATCTTCTCAAGAAGGTCTCAGTTCTAAGGTCAGTTAACAAGCATAAAAAACATAATAAATAACACCATTAATTCATTTAATTATATTACACAAATGTACAAAATGTCCCTTTTGTGATTACAGAAGGGATTAATAGTTTAATATATTATCATAGTATGGCTGAAAATTGTAGGTTATTTATATTAGACAAGATATCCTATCAATAAAATTCCATTTTCCTCAGGACTAGAATCCGTTCATTTATTAAAACTCCACTTCCTAGTAATCTAACATAAATCAAGCCAAAAAAAAAGACTGGTAAATCAAACAACAAACAAACTTATTCATTATGTCTCAACTGCAGAAAGGGTCATATTAGAACAATGCTTCTCAAGTATAAATTACTATGAGAGATCAAAACATGACATAATAGCAATCAGTTTTCTTGGAAATCACCATGATCTTTCTCTGTATCTTTTTCATATTTATGGAAATACATACAATAAAAAATGTAATACGTATGCTCCAAAATCAACAAATCTCATAAAACCCATTAAGATTTGCACATAAGACTGCATATGCTGTCTGCCTTGATATTGCCCATTTAACCTGAAATCATGTTAAACACAGACTTATGATGAAATCTGTATAAACTAAAAGCTCAGATCCAATATGACCACCTTTCCTTCAAGTTACAAATATTTTCTTCAATTTCAATGACACCTATTGTACGTATACTGGTTCATGCTTACACATTATTACAATTAATTACAATGTCATACACAAGGTTAAATGAATAAATAAAATATCTGAAACAGAAACGTACAAATCATACAAACAAATATTAACTTCAGATTAAAATAAATATGGCAAATTCATTGAGCATATTTAAATTATTTTCAAACATAACAGATACTCCTCAGCCACACAGTAACAAATACGATGTCTGGTTACCCTTAAAATTCTTTGTTATTGCCACTACAGACTGTTTATATTACTTTACAGTCAAGCCAACATAAAGGCCAGCCACAACAAAACCTAACACAAGGCACTTAATGTATGAGATGCATCATAATTCAGAGATATAATCACACTAAAGTATGCAAGAAAATTAAATATGATCAATTAAAATACTGAGATTTTGAGGTAAAATGTTTAAAAAATGCATGTCAAAATTTGTGGGTACCATGAAATGGAGGTATATGCCATAATGTTCACTAAATCAAAAACAATTTCATGAAGTCCTCACAACTCAGGATAACTTAATTTTTTTTAAAGTGTGTATAAATACACAACTTGGACATGAACTTGAGGCTAAAGTGTTAGTTTTGCTGAATTACAGGTAATACATCGATATCTAAAGCAACTACACTTCAACAGCAAATATTTTCCTTTTACCCCTTCACCCCATACCAATGACATATTAATCCAGGTGTCCACAAAATGTAAAAAATAAACACAACAATTTTAATGCAAGTCTATACCATGGGTTTTTATCTGGAAACAGAGGTCAAATTGTCTATTCAAGTATTCCTGTATGGACAGGAATATTGCAGCAAAAGGTTTGTATGTGTGTGTGTGTGTGCGAAGTAAATTTACTACTTGTATATTTACTTTCTCCATAAACAAAAAATAGAAGTTATTCTGGTCTATTTCCTGTAAATATGCTGAATTTATAATAATGAAAATATCACACTACACTATCAGAAATCTCAATACTGAGAGTGATAATCACCAACAGTTTCAGTTTTTGTTACCCCCGGACACTAGCTAAGTTGACAAAGTGTGATCATGGTTGTTCATATCTGACAAAGTGTGCTGCAATAAATAGCAATTATGGCACTGTCATACATGAAACTCAAGATATGTAATGTATAACAAAAATGCCATAAACTGCCAATAGATGTAAAAATGCCATATATTCATAGCTTTTGCAGTGACTAAATCCTATGAAATCTTCTCGGGCAATCAATCAGCCACATCAGGTGGTTCCAAAATATTGATGTTTCAAGAACCATCTTGGTCCACATCAGATCAGACCCCTGATGATGTGGACCAAGACAGTTCCCAAAACATCACTTTTTTATGTCCACCTGACATGGTTGATTGCCCAAGAAGACTTCACTCAATGTTATATACTGCTACTGCTACATCTGAACTAAGAACAAGATTTCACAGGTGTTAAAAACAAAGAGGAAGGGGGGGTGGGAGTGAATCAGTGACTACAGAAAACAACAGCATTTGACATTCTTCTTTATGACAATTACTCAAATGTTGGTAAAGATAAATGGATAATATTACCAGTAGTTGAATACGCTACTTAATGGTACCTGCACCTTGTTGTGGCCGTGGGGCTAGAGTAACTCAGTGATCCCAAGAGCTATGCTGGCGGCAGCATAGCTACTGGTAGGGCCTCTCTAGCTAAATTGGTCGAAGGGGAGAGGTCAGACTAAGACAGGTACCCTGGTCCTCCAGGTTGGGATTTGGTCGCAAGGCTAACAATCTTGCACCGAAAAGGAATTTGTTTTGAAACCTCAATCAAAGCCTCGGACAGATGGACCTAACAGAGGGCCAAATGGAAGAGGAGAATTGAGGAGGCCATGGACTGAATACAGACTGGAGAGCCATAAAAAAAACTTGAATACACTTGTCTTGTTATGAACACAATCAAGTGTTTAACAACACCTTCCTTACAATGTCGCTTTCTAATATTATACACCACCTAACAAGAAAACTAGTAGCATGCCTTAAAGTTAACTGCCATAAACATTGTATATAAAATGCATCCTTTGAGGTTTGTATGTCTCATACATGCAATCAGCATAAATTTCTGAGGGCACATGGAATCATGTAACTAGAAAGGAAACTTATTTTGATATTTATATTTAATTTCTTTTAACAATCCTTGGATATTATTGTGAAAAATATGAGCAACAGAATAATAGATATTTACAAGTAATAAGACCTTTTTAATGTGTCCTTGTTTGGGATCCCAGAAGACAGTGTTATTCAAAACTGGAGTTATTAAATGTGTCTCAGTGCTGTAACAGGCAGGAACTTGCTTACTTTGTAGTTTCAATGATTCCTGTGCCTTCTTATATTTACTTTGGCCCAGGATATATATAATTGTAAGTGGTCCCTTGAACAAAATGAATGAATAAATTAAATAATTACATCCTATAAGATACAGATGCTTGAATATGGCAAGAATATCAGGTACTCATCTTGCTGAGTGTCTGCAAATTCCATTTAGAAATGAAAAAATGGGTAGTGTTGTGAACACAAAACCTTCAGGTTCCATTAAGTGATGGGCAATTTCCTCACCAGTTGAGCAACTATATACTATTCAAGGACTCTGCTCCATGCAGTTAGTTATTAACAATGAAAAAGAAAAGTTAATGTGAACAGCAAATAGAAGTACATGTGATTCTATAATTATAATTACATGCAATAAAATATTATTCATTTGCAAAGTACCACACTATCAGAACAGAAGATTAAAAGGCTTCTTAGTAAAGAAATAAATTAAGCAGAAATGTGGGAATCAGAATTAGTAAATGCTTGGAAGGTGAGACATCAACATACTTTTCGGTGACACTGTAAGGCAACTAAGGACATTATATAAAACAGTAGTGACAGAAAAAAATAAAAGGGAAATGCTGAGGAAATCTGTCACAGTGACACTTCATCCACGTGAATTAGCTAGGCCTTAAACCTAATACTGTTGGGAGGTACAGTGCCTGGAATTATTCACATAACAATAAACTGATAACTAGATTTTGTCCAGTGCAATGTCTTTCACAAAAAAGGAAATAAACATTTTAACTGACACAAAAATATTGCTTCTTATACCAGTTTCTTGTGTGAACTGTATGGCTGAACTTTACATACTGCCACCAAGAACTTTATTACAGTGGCATGTCACTGAAGCTTACCTGCAGATGGCAATGTATAAAGAAAATTTATTCCTACAGGTTGCTGAGTTGTTCGATGCAGAAATTACTTTAATCCGACAATGTTTACCATTTAAAACAGTGAGGATTGTACCACTGCATCTAGCAACTACCATTTCAGGCACAGCTTATACAGACAAACTCCTACAGATTATATGATGCTGTAAAAATTTGGTATGGAGGAATGGGGGAAAAAAAAGACAAGTCATAAAACATCACACAACAAAAGAATGCTCTATTATTCCTATAACATCTGCAAAAATTATTAGATCTAGCATCACTAATCAATTTGGCATTATTAATTATAGAATAATCTCTCTAATTCCTACATTAAGCACCTAATGCTATGAGTTGTGAGAAGGCCTTCTAACAAAACATCACAAGTGCATCTGGCATTTGAAATTACACATTATGAAAATATTAAAAGCTATAAAACTCTAAGTTAACAAGCAATAAATAAACAAAATAAATATTTTTTTTTATTGAAACACCCCAGTTTCAGTCAAACTGAAGCTCCACTGCCAATTATATTGGAAAGCAATACAGTAACAAGACCCATTTTCACTAGCTGTAGAGAAATCAAATCAGGTCTCAGGTGGTCAAAATTACAGAAAATTAATAAAATTGACCCTTTCCACACCAACTTACTTCCAAACTTTGTTTAGTCTGTATCAATATGGAGGGAAAATAGTTTTGTTTAACACTACCATTTACTCAGAATAGTATAAAATGACTGACAAATGCAGGGTAGGTTTTGTTACAATGCAAAGGATGTGCTGGGTGAGAGTATGGTAGTCTTAAGAGTTCAAATGTTCCTAAACAAATAGCACAGTTTTAGAGCAAAGTGAAAACTAGAAAGTCAGATATGTTTTGACATCTGAGCAGGCATAAATTAAATGCCATATCAGCTGTGATACAGGAACTGAAAGGTTTAAGAATTAAAAACCAACAAAAACACGTTTCAAAGTCTTGCCAGAATGAAGTCTTTATATGACCGTTTGTAATGTTTTAGAACATAACTATAGGCTTGTTCAGAAAATATCTTCATTCTGGAAAGTGTTTCAATTTGTCCCTCCTTTACTTTTGGCTTCTTTCTCTAATGAATATTAGTACAGCTACATGATATTTAAGGTTCTTTCAGTGGTGAAAATGTTGATTGTCCACAATCGACATTAGCAGAGCTACTTGCTGTAACAAAAAGAATGGTAACCTGAACAGACATCTCCTGGTATGTAACAATTAAAAAAATATTATCTCACATCCAGAATGATAAACACACACAGTAATTTATATCTTAGTCACATTACTTGCACCATATTCATAATCAAGGTCCACCACAGTGGGATGACTACATCATGAGAACTTGACACTTCACTATTATACAAATATAAAAATTAAAAGTTATTTCTACATTATATAAACAATAACAATGAAAAATCTCAATAAATATGTGAAAACTGTAGCAACAAATAATATATTCAAGTTCAGTGGCATAGTATCCCCATGCATGGACCGATTGTTTATTCCTGTAGTTTTCATCTTCAGTAGAACTTCTTTTTATTTTAAATCACTCGAGAGAGAAACAAAATTACACTGACACAAACCGAGCTTCTCACCAGGATTACTTTCAATCACTGAGGCTGTTCTGACTCAGAAGTACCGGTAATGAAGGCTAATGATGGATAAAACATCACTATTATTCCCAAGAACACGATGATTAAGGGCACCAAACAGCACCATAAAACCTGAAAGAGATTGCACTGTTGATATCAGCAGTAGTACACTGTTACAAACAAACTCAAATACAGAAAAACTATGGAAATAAAAGAGGCTTGGGCAGATGAAAAATCATCTGAAGTGCAAAACTTGACACTAATTAGTTTCATATTAAATATGAGAATCTGTTCAATTTCATGGGTTTGGCATGACTTTACCCATGTATCGCAACTGCTGCAAGTTAAGAAATATGTCTCTATTAAAAGCAAATGTCAGCAACCCATAGCCCATGAACCACACGTCACTATCCCTGAAAGAGAGAAGCTGACCACTGGCCTGCATTAAGTGCCAAGAATTTAAAATATGAGCTTCACATCAAGAATTGTAGAGACAATGCTCCATACATTCATACACTAGGTGGCAGTGAGTCAATTTCTTGTACTCACTAAATAGTGTGATGCTTACAATATAAAAATGACTCATCACCTCATCATTACTGATGTCTTCATGCAATGCAATTCTCCAAATATTTTCTTTTTCCAAATTTTTAATTTTCATTTCCCACTACTGACATTTTTCAAAACTGTATATATACATTAGGAGCACAAGCACCAAAACTCACATAGATTTAGATATGCTTTTCCTCAAAGCCAAGTTCATTCTTACCTCCAAAAAAACAAAGGTGATTCTAGAACCTGTCACTGTTTCTTTTTACTATGTGAAAGACTCGAAGCCCACGATACATGGCCCCACAGAAGTTTTCCATACTTCAAATTTTGGTTTGTTATCTGCTCTTTACTTAAAGCAAAAGGTTAGAATGTGTTGCAAATTTAATTAAATTGGAACAAGGACTTTTCTTCTTACTTGAGTTGTTGAACCTTGATTTATAGCCGTTACCAGAATACAACAGTTTGTATCATTACAAACACAGAAATATTTTCATTTATAATTAATAAACTGTTTAACTCTGTCACCAGTCACAACAAAACCTTATTAATGTTATAAGACTCAAATTCAATATTTATCCTGATTGAAGTGTTTTAAGTCTGTTTAAAGTCGTGTGGCAGTGTTGGTAACCTGTTGACCATGGAAAATGTACCTATGGATCAATTGAACTGTAGAGTTTGCAATAATGTTTGAAGTTTTTGTGTGGTGGCATTTGTTATTATTTGTGCAGTAGCTGTAAAAATATACAGGAATTTCAGAAGTGAGAATTTTTCTTAAATTTTGTGTCTATTTTTTTATGATTCATTTAACATTGTCGTCAGTGGCTCAAAGTATATAGCATCAAATAATGGGATTATTAACAAATAATACATTGGAAAACATATGTAAGAAAGCAGTCATGGTCTAATTTAATGTATAAACCCAGCATTTGCCTGGAGGAAATGAGTAAATCCATAAAAACCTTAGTCATGACAATTGGTCTCCAGGCCAAGATTTAAACCTGGGATCTCCTAATTATGAAACAGAGTGCTAACCACTTAGCTAAGAAATTACTTGGAAAAGAAATTATAAAGATCCTAGCCTATGGTGATGAGGATCTTTGAAAGACAAGTTTTTCAATGTTTCATGAAGTTCAAAGAAGGCTGAGAAGACACAACAATGATAAATAACGTGGATCACCAAAATGTTTTTAATCCATGACAATATTTACTTAATTCTCCATCATTATCTAGACATGAACTCTTGTTCTTCAGAGTTTAGAACCTCAACATTCTGCTATATGACCAGGTCATGCATAAATGATACTTTTAATTTTAGAGTCCACAATACCTATCATATCTATTCCTCCAAAAATCAAAAGAAGTTTGGTGTGTTTCCAATATACAGAGTGATTTGATGTTAGACATACAAATTTTAGCAGTGAGGTGAACACCCAAAACTAATTATATAAGGTCATATAAATATGGGCCTACAAATCCTTAGTTTTAAAGTTAGTTTTCATGCCATGAAGGCACTTAGGAGGACAGGAAGTGCAGCTCCTACTCATTCATGACCTTGGGTAAGGCGGTGAGTGGTCAGTGTCATGCCACAGCCGCATTTTACCCCCGGGAAAAGGACCCCTGCTACCCAATGGATATGAGGCTGGGTGGGTCCAATAGCAGATCTGGATGTAGAGGCTAGAAGAAAAATCCTTTGCCCCTAGCAAGGATCAAAATGTAGTCATTCAGTCCATGATTAAACACAATACTGACTGAGCTACCCTGGCTCCTAAAGCCAGTAGTAGTATGTTTTTGTATTATTAAAAGATATTAAAGCATGTTTAAATTAAATTAGAATTAAAATACAGCAGTTCAAATTCCTGCAGCACCCATACAGAAGCATGGCATTTTTACAAAATTAGAAATAAATTACGTTTCTGTATTACAAAAAGTGGCAAGTAATTACCTAACACATCATCAAGAAAATATTTTAAACATATTCTAATCTACTTAAAAAGTCATATCGTTTGTCAATAAGGATTTCTTCTCCAAATAGAAATGGTGGTATTAACTGTATGCTGCATCCTGAGAAGTGTACTACACTGGTGTCTAAACAAATCTTTAATGCAAATGTGTTAAAGAATATGTTGTATTTTGAAAAATCAAGCTGGTTAAGATTGCAAACTAAACTTTTTATTGAAAATACCAATGAATGACAAAGTGAAGCTGTTACATCTGGAAATTAGAACATATCACCTAGACCAGATTAATAACACTGCATTACTTCCACAAATACTAAGCTTTGTGTTTCAGACTATGCCTGTACTAAAAATCTAACTACTTAACATCATGCAGCAGAGTTCTTCTTAAGAAGACCACAGCCTTTAGCTACCTAAGAAATACCGTTGCCTTTTACAGAACCCAAAGGTCCATTACCATTTCCACAAAAGCATACCAACAGTTAATATCCTGAGCCAGAAGAATCCAGTCCACACCCTCAAGCTTCGTTTCCTGAAGACCCATTTTAATATTGCCCTCCAATCTATGCCTAGGTGTTCCAAGTGATCTCTTCCCTCGGATTTTACAGCCAAAATTTTGTACACATTTCTCATCTTCCCCATGCATGAAACGAGTTGTTCATCCTAATAACACCTGGTGCATTGTATAAATAACAGAATTGTTCACAGTGCATTTCTCTCCAGACTCCTGCAACTTAATCCCTCTTAGGTCCAAATATCAACAAACATATTCACTGAAAATACAATAAAAAATTATTTAAGGAACTTAATGTCCATCATAATGATCAAAGAAATCCTATCACTGGACTCTTCCCTGGGCCAGTTCATATGTTCACTACATATTTATTTGAGATCCAACGTAAACAAACCCTAGTCTCCTACATGGCGTGCACCATTTAAGTTACTTAGTCAAAATCTGAATGAACAGGAAACAGATAACAAAATAAAACAAGACTTCAGACAATAAAGTACAGTCACTGTAGCTGGTGCATGATATCCTGTTCTAAAATTACTCCTTAAACCAATGCTTCAGACACACAAAACATTCCTTATAGATAAATCACTCTGTTTTGTTACAAAATTTTACTTGCTCTTGGCACTTGGGACACTTGGCTTTCAAACTGAAGTCTATGAATGTCTTGATGATTTTTCTACTACATATTTAGAATGTTTTTTAACACTCTGAATATGCTGTATATAGTCCCTTTGTTTTCTTGTATATGTTAACAGGATGCAAATTAAACATACTTTGCACTTATCTCTACGATGTAACGATACTCATTTCATTTCTCATAGGTTGTGGTTTAGACTGGAAAGATACTAGCCACGAAAATGTAACCCTTTCCAATACAATGATACCTATGCATATCACAAGATTCAACATTCACTGAATGCATTTAGCACACAGTGTGTATTTATGGGTTTTGTATGATCGAAAAAATAAACAGTGATTATTTCCTTCAACACCATTAACTACCTGATTTTTCTGAAGGGGGCAAGTTGTTTTCTTTGGGGCAAGAACTGAACAACACTGAAGATGGCCAAAGAAAATTACCACTGGACCTATCATATGTATAGCACAGGGGGTGACAACTTTAATTTTTCAACTCACATTTTTTGTGTATGAAGTTGAAAATCATTTAACTTGACATGGTTATCTTCTTTAAACACTGGTTACCACCTGCTCATTTTTCAGGCATACTGTAATGTTGTTTACTATGGTATATCTATAATCAATGTTCTCATTCTAAACAATATCCTCTATTTGCAACACAAAAGTAAAGTGTGGCTTAAACTTGGAAGGGAAAAATAAAATGAAGAACTTGGAGAAGTTTATTCTAGAAAAGGAATATAAATTCAAAATGGCACCCTTCCAATGTAAACAAAATATAAAAAGAAACTAATATCCTCAAATAAATTTTACTGCATGCACTTACATGATGCAAGGTCATAATGCAACTCTTAAACACCAGTGATTGAGACTACCTCTCTATCAGACCCAACAGAGTAGGTGCCCCTGCCCCATACACCTGAAGATGAAAACAGACCGTTTTGAATCGCCATGTGCATTTTAACCTTGGAAAATGGACAAGAGTCCAAAAACCAAATAACCCTGATAATATGTTTCATATTGTCACACCCCTCACCTGAAGGAACTAAACTATCCAAGATATTAATATATCAGTTCTATGTCAAGTACTTCAGTTTAATGATTTAGTTTCTGTCCCTTTTGCAAGAACTACATACTGCACACAGGACACTGCATATAACAATTTTTCTATAAACACACAAGACTACAAAGTGAGAGGTATGAATAAAGATATTGATGAGGATATCACTGAAAAGCATAAGGAAAATACTAATGCGAGACCTCAAAGAGACTACATACACTACTACTTTATTCCAGAAGGAAGAAGGGTAGCTCAGTCAGTATTGTGACCACACAAATGCTGGACAACTGGGGTTCAATTTCTGGCAGGGGGTGAGATTCTTCTGTTTGCCACCACACCCAGACCTGCTGTGGGGCGCACCCAACCCCTTATTCTAATGTTATCTGGGAATCTTTCCTAGGAGGAAAAGTGGTCAGGACATAAAGTTGAACATACAACTCTGGTGCTGAGGTTATGTATGGAACTACACCCTTATTGCCTCAAACATCTTCAAGGCAGCGTGAACTTTACTTTTACTAACAGTGAGAGTGAATGAACATAATAATTCCAAAAAAAGAATTGTAAGAAATAAAATTTTAAAATGTTCAATACACAGTCAAAAAATTTTAGTACAATCCTCAACCATATAAAAAGGAAACTTTAATATTACAAAGTACAGTTAATACTGTTTAATATGCCTTAACAAGACAAGATTTCACTGCACAACATCCATGAACAACCTGAAAATAATCAATATAAATCAACAATATGATTAGAATTTAAGAAAGACTTCTGCTTCCACACAGAGGAACAGCAAGTAAATATGCCAAATTAGTTTTACACTTTGTATACTTCTGTAGTTAAGATTTTTCTGACTCCTTGAGAGCTGTGCTAATGAAGAGTTCAACGTACTTCCATCAATCTCAGTATCAAGTCATTAAACAAGGACAATAGTTCAATGCAAGAGGTGCTTTTCAGGCAATATAAATTAATCAAGTGCATGCAGTTTAACTGTGTTAGAGGACCACCCTTTCATTCACCACAGCCCTTAATGTACATATACTTGTTGGGTAATATTTACCTTCTTTGGGATTTCATCTAGTAAATCTCAAGATAGATTTATAATGCAGTACTGTTGAAAACAATCAAAAGAAACAACAGAAAAGCACAGGATATTCCACAAGTTAAGTGTAGTGGACCAAAGCCAACCACACAGCCAGGGCAACGAGAAACAAGGGTATAACATAGTTAACACGTACCTGGGAAGAGAAACAATAAAAATCACAACATAAGAAAATATAATAATAATAATAAAAATAAACACGGCCATGTGAGCATTTGCTAAGGCTGTGCAGTGTACACGAGAAAGTGTCATTTGTATAGTAGTGGAACTTGATTTATCAGATCTCGTAAAGTGGATGGTACTGCAAGAAAAGTAAGGAAATCATTTATTCAACATGAGAAAATAACAATACTCAGCTTGTTCATAACAGATTTTCTTCTTTTCTAGTTAAATTTTCATTCCCTTACTCTTAAGCATTTTGAGTCCAAAAAGGTGGTAATCAATAATTTGCAGGTTAAGTAAAGAGATATTGGGGACTGTTTATTAGCATCTCTTTGAAGGTTCAAGAAAGTACCATATTTTGTAACAACTTATGGTTAAAGATGGTGTGGAAGTGACAGTGAATATGTAGTTGATTGTGCTTCTGGGAGGTTGCATCAAATAGAAGTGGATCACATTGTTGATGTTTCAGAGGAACATACTGCCTTCATCACCAGGGCTAATATGTGGAATGTTGTGTGAGTAATAATAGATACATAACACTCATATCCTCCTGATGATGAGATAGAATGTTCCTTTGAAACATCAGCAACACTGCCCACTTCCACATGATGCAAGCACGTAAAAGTAGGATCAACATGAAAACTTAAAATCAGTTACTGGACACAATGTGCATGTCTGGAATAGACACCCTGATCCACAAAGACTTTATTATGGGTGACTACATGAAAAGTACAAATTTACCAGTGGAATAAACTGTTGTAATCATCTTTTAAATATGTAAAACAGGATATGGAAGAAGTATTTTTAAATCTGACAGCCAGCCAGTTGTGCCACATGTGGAACACACCACAATGGTACAATGAGATTTCTGTTACGACTGTGACGAGGGTTCATATCAGCATACCAAATAAACACATAGACATCCCTGTTACCTTCATAAAGAAAAGTTTCTAAAAAATTAAGTAATGTTCGAGGAGATGAATAATGCTATTACTTACTATACTAGAACTGCTCATGAGATTGGAATATTCCTGTTGCAATGAGACCAAATCTTGTGTCAGCTGTGTTTTTGCTTCATTACACTGGGAATAACACTCTTTGACAATCACCATTTCTTCTTGTAAATGATGAAGCTGTAAAATAAACACCCAAGTTACAAATTCTGCATTTACCAAACTCGTCATAATACTTGACACAAGCATTAAGTGCTACTTTACCATGTACTATCCAGCATGGCAACAGAAACTATAAGAATAATCAGAGATTCAAAATTAAATGTGCTTAAATAACACACAAAGAAGAGACATACAGTGAGCACAGAACCAAAGCTCCTTGAATTTTTAACCTAGGTATTAAGTGAAAGTAAATCATATTAATGAATGTATACAAAACATGCAAATGAACAAACAACCTCCTCACAATAAATTCATTTTATCCACTTTGTGCAAAGAATGCAAAAAAGCTGCACACCAACCTAAGATACGAGACACCAGCTTCTTATTTATACTGTTAAGGACAGTGCATGTCAGAATTTTGGCAGAGAGTAAGACTTCCTTCTAAATATTACCAATGATATTCTATAATACCACCTGAGTGGTAAAGTAAGTACTTTGCTGAGAAATCTTTTGGAAAGCTGCTATTACAAAATCTGAGGAGATGGGGCAAGAGTATTAAAATGGAATCTGTAATTGAATCAATGACAAGCTTTGATAGTATTCTGACCAAATAGAACACAATTAAAACTTTGATAATTATTTTGGACTTCAATTCTAACCAGACACTTTGAAGGCATTAAAGGGACTTTAATTTAGTTCAGAAAAAACGAGAATAAAATGGATTAATTTTGTGTGTTGTATGTTAGCAGCTACACATCAATTCCACAACATTTTGGGCATGTGTATTATTTATGACAAATAATATGGTTTCCTATAAAAAATATCCAATATCTTTTAAAAGTCTTCATATCTGGCAAAATGATAATGCTGTACACAAAACTGAACATAAAAATTAAACAATACATACAAGAACATCAACTTACATTCTGAAAAATTTGGTCACGTTGTATCCTGCACTCACTCAATTCTAAAGATGTACTTTCAGAGTCACCCTGTAATATACGAGCTTCCAAATTGCGATTTAGAATGAAGTTCCGCTCCTCAAGTGCATGGTATTCCTCCTTTAGCCTGTAAAAAATAAACATTATAATCAAAATGTTTGATCTGATTGTTAAGGGTCTATAAAGAAACAAAGGAGCCTACACATGAAAGTCTGACTTTGCACAGTTCCCTTCCACATAGATAAATGTATTAAGTAAGCAAAGTACAGAGTTTTTTTTATTTTTAATACCAACACAATAAAACAGTAATTTTAGTTTCACTAACATTTTGCGATTATCCAAGCTCTGTAACATGTGGAATGACACACTGTGATATCTAGGGACTATGTCTTCCCAGAACAGTGAAAACCTTGTAATACTTCAAGACTGACAACGAACAGATGAATATGGTTGGGCACTGGTAATATACTTCTATTAACAAAACAAGTCTAAGACACCTATGAAAATTACTTGCTTTACAATCTCCTGAACTCTCAAACTGACATTATACTCCCACACCCAAACCTGTCTCCAAGTTAATGCTTTTTAATAAGTTTCCTCATAAAAATTTGGTATGCATTTCTTGTCTTACCCACCTAAGTCATACATCAACCCTTATCCTAAGGTTTTCACTTTAACTATCCTAAGACTATTACATGAGTGTAAAATGCAAAGTTCCTCACTATGAGATCATGTTCCTTAATTACTCTGAATGGGGATACAAATGTTTTACATAACTACCTCTTTTCCAAAGTATTGAATTTTGCCACATTAATGTCAAACATCATAACTGATTCCCATGTCATGAAGAAACATAAGTACAGCTAGACTTTGAATGCTGATCATGTATTAATATACACAATGTTCACAAATCAGTAATGTCTGATCTTATATAGGGACTGTAACACTGGCATTCAGTGACTGCAAATAAAGTATTAACTTTCACTATGTAAATGGAGAAAATAAATTTGGTACAGAAAGATTTATTCAGAGAAAGAATGATATGTACACATTAAAGAATACTATTAGGTTAAAAAAAGAAGGTTTGTAGCTTTAGAATTTGAAAAAATTTACACTGCCAACAATTCAGAACATAAAAAGTTCAACTAATGCAGTCAAATGTTGCTATAAGTTAAAGCAGGATAAATTACTGTTAACAAATTAAAGCAGAACAGATAATGAATTGACAGAACGTGCTCCACATTAGAAGGCTAAATTTCAGCGCATGAAGGACCCAATCTAAGATGTGAAACTAGTCAGATTGACTTCATGTAACACTCAGAATCAAAGATCCAAAATACACATTCACACTTGATACACAACAAATGATTGCATATGGTACTGACTTAAGACATTCAACCAGATGCAATAAGGTTCACTAATAATAAACCATAGAATAAAATGATGTGCACCTGGCATTATCTTCCACCAGTGTTTCACATCGTTTTCTAATCTGGATCAATTCTTCGCGACTTCTATTATCTTCACTACCAGAATGACGTTTCAGTTCCTCTTGAATGGCTTTCAGTCTATCTTTCATCTGCTCAGCTTCATTACGGCTTTGTTTCGCACTCTGTTGAGCTTCCATCAGTTGATCTGAAAATCAAGATTTATACTGAGCAAACACAGCTACTAACCATTAAATTTTTCTCATCAATTTATATTAAAATAAGAAGGAAGATGGCTGTCTTCTAGGATGTAGCACAATGAAGACTCCACAACTTCAAACCATATTTATAAGATCCAGTTTAATGTTATTATTCTGTGTCTAAGTCTTCCAAGTCTTATGTATTTTTGCATAAAAGTATCACATGCACACTTCTTGCCCTGTCCACTGGTTACTTACTTCCTCTTAGGTCCAGATATTGTCGTCGGTACCATCTACTTAACACACTCGCAGTTTAACATCTGGGAAAAACTGAATGAATTTTGCTCTTGCCAACTTAACTAGATTGAAAAGAGTCAGAGCATGTAGCCTGTCATATCAGCTGATGATGGCAGAATGCATTCATGTTTGTTTCCATAGAAGTTACATGTTTTTTGTAACCATAACTAAACAGAAAACCAACATACTCCGTAATACTTCAGCTTCCTCAGAATGTTGAATACAGCGTTGTTGTTCGTCTCGGAGTCGTTCTTGCAGCTGTAATACTTGAAACTTCACCTCATCTGCTGATGTTTCAAGCCAGTGCATTTGTTCGTGTAATTTTGTCACTGATTCAGACTTCTCCTGCATCTGTTTCTGGGCAGCCTTTAACACAAGATGGCTACTGTATTTATTTCTACAGTACTACAAATGTAATTCTTACAACAAATTCAAACCATTTACATCTATAGCAACTAAGATCATGGTATTTCATATTTTGTATGGCATATTTAATAAAATAAAATAAATATCATTTCATAATACAAATGTATTCATTTGAAAGAAAGATTGAGAGTTGGCAATGCCTAATACAAGTGATTGGGAAGACAGTATTTCAGAACCAAATCTTATAAACCAAAACAACTTACCTGCAACTGCTGCTTCAACATGTTAGCTTCCTCTGTTGTCTTCTTCACTTTGAGTTTGGCACAATCTAATTCATGTTGGTAATGCTGCTGCTTGACCTCAACATCACGCTTCTTGCCACGAGACTCCGCAAGCAATTCTATGCATCACAACTATATCATGTCATTATTTATGGAAATGCAGGTTCAATTTATACATCAATAATAACTTATTTTAATAAATGTAGTAACTTTGTTAGTTTTACAGCTTTCTGAACCAACAACACAAAGATATAAAATGAAGAAAATAATCAAAGTCCCAGTCAGTACTCTAATCTAATTACAGTACAACTCATACAAAAGGAAACCTGCTATTACAGGAAAAGTTCTTCTGTCATGAAAATGGAATGAAAACCAATGAAAAGTAATCTCTAAAAGCAAACAGTGCTTAGTAAAGAAGTACAAATCAAAAAATAACTTTACAAGAAAATATTTTGTCTGCATATGTGTTTCTCTTCATATAATTTTGTTACATACTGTGCTTTCTGGTAAGTATCTATGGAGAATTAATTCAATGATAAATAACTGACCTAGGCCAACCATCAACAAAATGTGAACAGAATTCTTTAAAAGACTGCTAGGAAGAGTAAATTAAAAAGGAGGGAGTAAAGGGAAACGAAAAATGTATACTGCTAAGTAACAATGCAGTGTGCACATGTTGCATGAATTTCTGGCTTATAATAGGACCATAAATACATAAAACATGGGATACACTGTTCAACATATTTTTACCTATAAGTACTTATATTAAACAGAGACATGGCTGAAATAGAGATAGATATGCATAATAATATAAACATTTACTGATTAAACTACAAATGAACATATACATTTAAACAATTCTACCACCTGTTCAAGTAGTACTATTTTCGATAACATGCATTAAAATATTAGGAACTGAAAAAACCAAGCAAAGCATTAATTTATTTCATGCTAAAAACTGGTTACCTTACCTTTCATTAACTGATTGCAAAGTTAACCATTTCTCAAGCTCTGTCGGAAGGTTTCAGACATTCACATTTTCTGGTACAGGTCCTACACTGGAAGTCTTTTACTGCCAAATTGTCTACCACATTATGATTGTGTTAAATGCTATTTACAATATTTAACATTTCTTTAAGTAATTCTTATGCAGTAGAAAGCAGAAGTTTATATGCATAAGCATATAAAAGTGTCCCTTTTTTCACTTTATATCTGGCAGAAGTGATGTCAGAAATGCACAAACAGGAAAGGATAACTTTCATCAGCCACCATGCACAATGGTTAATGTGTGGTCCAGTGCCACATACTGCAACAGCCTCCAGCTAAATGTTAAACCCCAGAGTTACAGTCTGGCTGATAGTCCCATAATACAGGGATTTAATCAACAATTTCCATATAATAAAGGTTAAGATACAATCACAAAACTTCTTCTTTGTATGCTGAATGATGCAACAATAAAGAATTATATCCAAGAGACTGTACAAACTGATTAAATACTTTTGTTGTGAAAATGTTTGAACAATGAATGCAGAATACTGTAACAATTAGCAAAAAAAGTAATATAAAAAATTATGAATCACTAAAATGGCCATGAGTGAATGAATAAAAAAAGGTGTTTCCATCAATTATCATTTCAACATAGGAACTTATATCGAGAATATAAATATAATGTACCCACACCCCTATAATTAAAAGCTGTGAATTTTCTGTGCACAAAGCAAAAGCATGATCAAACATGAGTGATGTAACCAAACCTTTTAAAATAATCACCATGCAGACGTAATGCTCTACAGACAATTCCAACTCATGACGAGTTTCTACAAAAGATACAAACAATATTAATGCACAACCAAGCACATTACACAATGCAGCACTGTTAAGTTATATATCAAATATAAAGAAGTGTTTAATTTCAAGTCACACAATATTTTTACTGCTAATACAACTTATCTAAAGAGTGTCACTATGCAGGCAGAAAAAAAATGTACCAGCAGTTTACTTCTCTGTCCATAAAAGTAAATTCTTTATCAAGTTAATTAAAAAAATAATTCTGACTCAGCTTGAACTTGTTTTGAATTACACTTACAACAAAGACCAGGATAGTAAAGTCTGTATAAATTACAATATGCATTTATTAAAGCAGTATAGACAAACATAATGAACACAACAAAGGCTTGTCAAAATATTTAGATACATTTGCAACTTAGAGATATAAAAATGTGCCTATTATATTGACCCTGTCTGTATGCAGTAAACACTTCAAGAATAGCCAAACAAATTTATGGTAATTGACATTGGAGAGTTTTACAATTAAGAAGAAATTATTGAAGCATATTGAACTACACAGTCAACTCTGTAAACCTAAACAAAAAACTAGAATGTGTCAGAAGAATAGGAGAAAGCCAATGACATTGTCCTGGAAATAGGAATTTAATTTAGATAATCAAATGGCCAGATGCAAAGTTTTAAGCAGTAATATATGGGTCAGTGATAGTCAACTGTAAACGTTATGTATAGATGTAGAAGCTGCTGAAAATGTAGCAACAATACCGGAACACACCACATAATACAAATACAAAAAATAAATGCCAATGATGAGGAAGCAGCCTATTAAAAACAGTACTAATAAAACCACAAAAGGCAGACATAGAAATGTATTGTAAAACTGATGTGAGTAAACTGATGACAGTAAACAAGAATATAATTTTTGGTTAATGTAACATGAGGGAATGTTTACAATGACAGCTTGCTAAAGACTGCAGGCAAATCAGATTACTACCAGGGCAATACTTGCACAATATTTCAAACATATTTATAAATAATGTGTTACAGAAAGAAATGACTTGAAATTAAAATTTAACCAACATACTGCTAAACTTCAAGCATGATTCAAAATCATTCAACCAACTAATGCGAGGATGCATAAGTTATTGCATATCCCACCACCTTTGGCATAGAACTAGGAGTATAACTAAAACAAAAAACTATAGCCAGCAATTCTCAAACATAGCAACAAAAGCTTTATGGTGAAAGTAAGCAATCATACTTCTAATTGAAATGTTATAAATATATTTAATGATTTTAGAACTATGGTGGTACATAACAAATTACGATTTATAAATCTTTAAAACTTACAGCATCTACATGTTGTGGGGAAGATGTCCCATGAAGCAGATTCCAAAAAGGATCATTAGCATTGTTAATAATTATTATTAAAATTGCATTGTTCTTAATCATTTCAGGGCTAATTCTTTTAATCATCCATGTAATCAGACTTTGTAGTACTGTTGTATTACTTATAATACTTTTTAAAACAAAAAAACTGGAATTATAGCAATTCTCCATGGTATTCTATCAAGTCACAGCAGGCTGATTATGAAAATGCTATACAATCAAATTTTCTAATTTTCAAAGAAAAGTTCTGAATAAACTGTATATGTATACAGTGATTTGAAAAACATGCTACATCAATCCCAAAAATTGTAACTGCAGTTGAAATTTTAGGTTACATTTCAATTCACAGACATCTGTGCCACATTAATATCTCTGCTAACAGAACAAGGATGCAGTGAGAAATAAATGTGTAAACATTTTCAAAATCTGTTTGCAGAAATAACAATTTCAGGACTTTTCCAGGGGACAGTGGATTTGAACAATAAAATGAGGAAAGTATGGTCTATAAAGCTTTCATGGCAACTAAGTATGATGAATTCTTCTTGGGCTACCAGCTGTGTCAGGTGGTTGAATGGAGAAAACACCGTTTTGAGAACCATCAGGGTACCGAAGGACATGGACAAAGATTGTTCTTGAAACACTGTTTTCCCCATTCAGCTACCTGACACGGCTAGCAGAAGAAATCATCAAAATGAGAAAAATGTAATATAGGACAATGTGGAGTGGAACCACACAAACTGAATGCTAATGAAGAGAAAAATAATTTAATCCAAGGAACACTAAATGAGGATTTAATTTAATTTTGCTTTAATAGTAAGTCAAGAAGAATGAGATGAGCATGCATGGATGGGGCAAAAGGTGCGCACTGGGTATTAGTTGGGAAGCCTGAGGGGAGACACAGATGTAGATGGGAGGATAATATCAGGCAGATTCTATGAAAGATAGGAGTTGAAGGCGACTGGATTTTGCTGGCCCCGGACAGGGACTGGTAGAATGGAGAAAACACCGTTTTGAGAACCATCAGGGTACCGAAGGACATGGACAAAGATTGTTCTTGAAACACTGTTTTCCCCATTCAGCTACCTGACACGGCTAGCAGAAGAAATCATCAAAATGAGAAAAATGTAATATAGGACAATGTGGAGTGGAACCACACAAACTGAATGCTAATGAAGAGAAAAATAATTTAATCCAAGGAACACTAAATGAGGATTTAATTTAATTTTGCTTTAATAGTAAGTCAAGAAGAATGAGATGAGCATGCATGGATGGGGCAAAAGGTGCGCACTGGGTATTAGTTGGGAAGCCTGAGGGGAGACACAGATGTAGATGGGAGGATAATATCAGGCAGATTCTATGAAAGATAGGAGTTGAAGGCGACTGGATTTTGCTGGCCCCGGACAGGGACTGGTAGAGGGCTCTGGTTAATTCGGTGATGAACCTTCGGGTTCCCCAAGCCCTCCAGTCAGTTATATTTAAATTAATGTGTCCCTCAGATAACTCTAAACATAAAGTTTAAAAAAATAAATTGTTATAAATTACACGCCTTTATACACATATGTCAAATTGCAGACAATGCTTCCACGCAAGCTTCTATGTAACTAGAAATTAGTTGGCATATGCTTGAGAATCACTAGCATAATGTATCCACAAGGTTACACTTATTTCCAGAAAGCAGCTAAAACCCATAATCATGCATTTTGATTTTGGAGTGGTTCATAAACCTCACCTTCCAGTTTAGCAATGTCAGCTTTCAGCTTCTTCGCATGATTGGAATCTGCCTCAAGGGACACCTGCAATAAAAAAATGTCATTATAGTATTCCCACCAAGTTTGTTAATGTGGATTGGTGATCCAGAAGCAGGTGGTTATGTAAATCATTCGGTGACATTACACTCTTCCATCTTCTTATAGATGCTACCAAGTTTCAGATGTGATGGAAACTTGAACAATTGCACTCTCTCAAACTTGTCCCTCAGAGGGTACGTGCATTAGCTTGCCGACAGTCTTCTTGTATGAGACTGGTCAAGTGTGGAGTGTTCTGTGTGGTGACAATACTTACAATTGGTTTCTGTGTGTCATCTATCATCCTATGCAATCCACAAAACAAAACTGTGCACATTCAAACAAGTGAAGCACTGGTAAATCACAAGCAGCAAAAATAAGATGTGATACTACCTAAATAAACAAATAAATAAATATTACTTCTACCCTGAAGATGGAGGGGATCCCAAACACCAAATACATGAATAAGAAATTTTAACCATGCTACTAATTAATTGTTCATTGCAAAAAAAGAAAGAAAAAAAGGGGGGGAAAGAAAAAAGAAAAGAAACTTACATGTTTCCTATCACATTCTCCATTTTCATGACAATTCTCTACTCGATCCAATTCCAAATCTAATTCTAGTCCTTCTAATCGCTCTTGGAGCACACGAATTTGCTCAGAGTTTGAGTCTTCTTGCTTCCGGGATTCTTCAAGTTGTGCTGAAATAGATTGTCACATGTTACCAAACTGACAAACTTAGTTAATTGAATTTGAACACTTTAGTGCCATATCTACTGTACTAGACTTACTACAAAAAGTGTTAACCTGAATTATGTCACAAAATAATTATGTCTAAAATTGGTTATGCAGGTACTTATAATCCCAATTACACTACAGTACTTGCAAAGCATTCCTCCCATCACGTGTAGTCTATCCATTTTTCAGTTTTCATTAAAAACCACCTACAGACATACAGTTCAGGGAATATCGGGGTCAGTTTGCTGATGGGTTTGTGTAAGGCAGGTCAAGTTTCAAGATTCTAGTTATGAAATACAGTGGAACGATATAAAAATCTTGTGTAATGCTATATCAGTGCTGTGTCTCATGGTAATAAAAGGGTGTTTCTCACCAAATATGTAGGTAATCTGCCACTATCTCTCTTCAACTAACATCAGAAATTGTTTGTTGGTATTAATCTTCTTGGTACAAACACTGTGGGGACTGCTTGTTACCTACCTACAAGCAAACATGGCAATGCCGCACAGAAGACCAACATCGTCAGCACTGTGAGAACCTGAACTGAATAGACAGATTTCTAAACAGATATAATATAAGGGATAAATGTCAGTAGGATAAACCTCAAGAACAAACTCCTTCAGTTCATAGACCAATACAATAAACGATTCAGACACCTGAACACTTATGCATTCATCCAACCAGTTCTTTTCAATAAAAAATAATAGATCCTAATCTGAATATTTTTTAACCTTTAAACGACGCGGATTTAAATGGCAAAGTGGTAGTAGCCCTACAGAGTTTTTTGCAGGTTTCTAAACTTTTGTGCACGCTCTACGGAAAACTTTAATATTATCTAAAGTAAACATGATAAATTGACGAAATAAAAGCCATATTTATTCGAATAGAACAGAGAATACATAGGGTTTTTTAAAAATGCAGTTAATATCATAATTGCCTATATAGGCCTTAGTAACATTACTTTCTTCTTTGGAAGCTCATTAGACATGGTAGAAGCCATGGTTGTGAACTAATGACCACACAGAAAAATTTGTTTCCCCCACTTCAGTGGATACATATTCTTTTCACAGATCATGTCGAGGAATGTGAGAAGCTTTGATTAGGGGGGCTGAAAATGAAGCCAAAACCCACTTGACAATAACAATGTTTATTGCTGTTTATGGTTATAGTTCCCGGGTTGACAGCTCATGTTGAACTTGTCAGAACCCTAGAGAGAGTGATTCAATATTTGCAGCCCCTAAAAGAGGCCAAAAGACGTAGCCAAGTCTACTTACAATGTTGCAAGTTTTGAGTTCCGCACCGGGAACGTTCGTAGGGCTGAGTACACAACTTACGTCCCAGACAGGGAACGCTAGTAAGATGAAGGTTAATGAACCAAGAGTCATAATAAATCATCATAAACTAACATATCAGCACATAAATACAAACATTACAGAAATAAATTAAAATTCTGAAGACCCTATTGCAACATATTAAGAAAGATAATTCTGGACCAAAGGGAATGCTGGTGAACACAGAAATATGTCAAGAGCCCATAAAACACCTGAAATTTAACTGCATGTGCAACTATTAGCTTCTCAAGAAGAACTTTGCTCATTGGAGTTGGTTAATCCTACAACTTTGGTTTCAGAAAGTCACGTTAATTCAGGAGTGTCTACAGCTGCATTCCTCTTAAATAATGCAAGAAATCCATGCAAAAAGCACACAACAGATTTCACTCACTGTGGAGTTCATCCACTCTTGCATGACTCTCCTTTATTTCCTCCTCAGACTTCTTCAGTAAAGATCGAAGATTCTCAATCTCATCTTGGGTATTTTGTAAAGCCTCTTTCATGTTGTCTGGTTCAATTCGCTCCAAGATAATATCCACCTGGGTGGCTGTAAGGAGTGAAAAACCATTTTCATGTACATCCCAAGTCCAGTTTTCACTACAGACATGAATCACATTTATTTCTATGTAAAGCAAGAGAGGAGTCTCTGGTAAAGTACATAAGCATTATATTATTGAAGCACGTTCTTATAAACAACTGATAACTCACAATCAAACTATTTTCACATTACAGTGAAACCTCTATCTATCGTTCCCGGAAATATCGTTTTCCCGGATGCATCGTCCGTTTTGTTCGGTCCCGAATACATCCCATATAAAATAATGTTACATTTTCCCGCTTCTATCGTTCCTCGAACTATCGTTTTATCGCATCGATCGTTCAAAAATCTTAGTCCCGGCCAACAATTTTCCCGCAATGATCGTTTCTGAGAAATTGTAACGAAATTTACGTGATATTTTTAGAATTTAATTCCGAAAGACGCACAATGTTTTTGGAATAAACAGTAGCGGTAACCTGTTATGTCGCCCAACCAGCACA